TAACAATACCTGTCAAGTATTGTAAAAACTGAAAGCAATAAGAATTACATTGACTTGGAAATTTGTAATAAAATTGTGTCTTTCCAAATGGATTCTGGTGCAACAGTTTTTCTAATAAATAAGCGAACATTCCAAACTCTAAATTGCCCAAAGTTGCGAAATTGTTCAAAAACCCAAAACCCAATGGGCTTCGCCTATTGTACTAGCGCCAAAAGCTGATGGTTCCATAAGAAATTGTGGGGATTTTAAACAAGCAATCAATGCGCAAATTGACATTGAACAATATCCTTTGCCCATACGCGAAAGTCTTTTCCATAAAATTCATTGCGGTCAACATTTATCTCGATGAAATTATCTCGATGACATCATCACCAGATGAGTCAGGACTAAAAGCAGTCCTGCAGCCACCTAAAGATCTAAAGCAAGCAGGAGCATTCATGGGTAAGGTAAACTACTAGCATAATTTTATACCTAATTTTTCGCAGTTATCCGCGCAAATCAACATGCTGCGCCGGAAAACTGTAAAACTCACATGGGGTACAACACAACAACAAGCATTTATAGCTCTTAAAACGCATATTCTCAATGCAGCGCAATTAGAACATTATTAGGAACACTTACCGTTGGTTCTAGCTACAGATGTCTCCTCCTATGGCATGGGAGTCGTCCTCATGCATACGTACGTTGACGGTACAGAAAGGCCTATTGTTTTTGCATCTAAAAATCTCGATATTCATCCGCGACGATATAGTCAGATAGAGAAAGCAGGGCTAGCTATCGTTTTTGGAGTCAAGCGTTTCCATCTTGTTAGCATTTTTAATCCAACTTATCAGTTACCGTCGATGACGTCACATCGTTTACAGCGATGGGCTATTATACTAATGGCTTATCAGTAGGATGTTCAGTATCGTGAAACTACTGAGCATTAAAATGCCGATGCTTTATCTCGTTTACCCGTTGGTGAAGATAAAACTTTTGATCATGAAGAGTCCTGTTTTAACATCAATGAACCTAACACACCTCTGGACGCTGAAATAATTCGTCAACATGCCAAAAATGACCCAATTCTTCGCCGAGTTTATTTTTTTGTTACAAACGGTTGGCCTGAAAAGCTAATGTCATTTTTCAATCATCGCTTCACTTTAATGCTAAACAACAATTTGCTTTGACTCCAGACGGAGTACAATCGGGTTTTCATTTCAGCCTCCCTTAAGCAGAAAGTTCTTAAACTTCTTCATGATGGTCATTGGGGAGTATTGAAATTGAAACAGCTAGCTCGACAACATGTCTGGTGAACTAATATTGACAAAGACATCGCACAATTAACTGAAAATTGTGATGTGTGCAAAATTGCAAATTCTGTTCACTCACGTGAAAACGTAAGCTGGCCTGAAGCTTATCGACCTTGGCAGAGTACATATCGACTTTGCTGGCCCATTCTGTAATTCAGATATATATGGCTAATATGCATCGACGCTTTCTCGCAATTTCCGTTCATTGTACAACTATCTACAACAACAACAGTTGACACCATATCGGCATTGGCTTCTATATTTTCACTGGAAGGTATTTCTGGTATACCATCGTAAGTGACAATGGTCTACAATTAACAGCTGAAGCATTCAAATATTTTTGCTCAAAACTTGGCATCAAACTATTAAAGCTATTAAGAAAAACTTTGATGATGGATTGTGTCTCAAATTCGCTGAATCAAAATACCTTGCAACATATCGTGCAACGCCGAATGCTGAAGGTAAATCACCTGCTGAACTTTTACATGGAAAGCCTGCTCGTACCCTGTTGAGTCAACTGTTTGACTCGCCTAGGAAGCACCTTGAAACTTCGAAACGAAAAATGAAATTCAGCCTAAAGCATTGTTTATTTTGAACATTCTAGTGAGCGGACGTGTTTTTAAGCCGGTCTCGGAAAAATTTAAATTTCAGTATAAAAACAAGTAAATAACAATCACTTTTAAAAGAATTACTTTTGTTATTAAAACAAAAATAAAAAACAGAACATTCTCGGACAAAAAAACAATTCCTAAAAGTTGAAAGTGCATAAAATATTAATTTGAAAATAGCGCGCGCTGTTGTGGTTCCGAGTAGAAGTTGTTACTTCCTCTTTAACCAAATAATATACACCTAGTTGAGGATGTTGAGGTGATGGTGATGATGATATAGTCCTCCCAGAAAACCCGTAAAAATAATACACTTTTCTTTAGTTATACAATGACACAATTACTTTATTTATTTCCAATATATAACAGCACTACTACGCTTCACTTTTCACTTTTTTACACACTTTAATACTTGGTCAAGCGCTACTGCGCTTAACCTCTTCACATTTCCAAGACCCAGTTCCAATTTTGAACTCGTCTTATATACCTAAACTTGATGCAAAAATCCAATATATGACCTAGTTACTTTATTGGGTTTTTCCCATAGTTGTATAATTTATTTTGCTAAATTCGCAAAGTTTTATTATTACAAGAATGCTCCACATATTTTTGCAATTCTTCCGTATTCAATATTTTCAAAGTCACTTACATCATGACACCAATTACTAACCAAATACCAAAAATCAGCATTTCTTATCGTCGAACTGACGGTCTGATGCTTTGGTTCTAGTCAATAACTGCCCAGATGCAAACAACCTTGCCTATTTTTAGGAAAATATACGATCAACTGAAATCGTACACAAATAAAAATATTACACGTATTTCACAGAGAAATTGCAAAACGTAAAGTTAAATGGACTAATTATTTAACTCATAACATTCCTTCCCCCTATGAAGAACATTGTGGCACACAATGTTACATATCTAGCGGTCTATATTAAACTTGCATCAAATTTAAGTTCACATTAAATATTTGTGATTGTTCTTAAAATTATAAAATATTTATAATTATTACTCTACAATAGTTATATTTTATTACTAATCAAAAATTTACATGTTATAAGTTTACAATAAAAAAATTTTATAAAATAATTTTATAAATTTGCTTATTAAGAAGTTTTTAAAAATAGTTACTTCAAAAAAAATTTTTTTTTTTTTCTCTTTTCTTTATTTATCAAAAGGTTTTTTCATTTAGTTTAACTTTAAAATATTAAAAAGTTATTATTGCTTGCAAAAAATTATTTAGGTTATAATAAAATATGTTGAATCTTCAAAAAAATTTTTTCAGTTTTCGAGTTTCCTTTGTGTTGACACTAAAATTTTTCTATAAATATAGTGCGGGTTTAAAATATTATCTCCTAACGTAAATCATGAATTTGCAATTCTGCAAAAAATAAATATTTAGTTCAGTAGCTGAACTCAATAATATTTTGTAACAATGTTTCCGCATTGTTTGCAGAATTGACTTTAATTACATTATACCTCACAAAAATGGTTTGTGAAGTAACATTATTCTGTTAATATATCTAGCTAGACTAGATATACAACATCAATTTACAACATTCAATTTTATAATTTTACAATTTTTATATTTCAATCTTTTACAATAACAAAACATTATTATTTAACAAAAACTCTACGTCACTCTATATTATTTAATCCAATTTTTTTTTCAATGTCAAATATATTTTTGAATGACTTAACAGAATTCGACACCTGCACTGCACCTGACACTGAAAATTTTAATGTCTTGCTTTACAACGACAATTTTTTTTTTTTTGTTTGTGGTGTTTCAGGCCTATTTTCGTAATTCGCTTACTTTTTCTTGTTGTAAATAATTTCAGTTTTATTGGTTTTATTAATACATTTTTTGTTTTTTAAAAAATTGTACGTACAAATTGAGTTTTTCCTTAAAACAACACAAAACCAAATATTTTTTTTTTATATCCTAAAGTATTCTTCTTTTTTTAAAACAAAACAAAAAAAAAAAAAAACAACAGATCTTATTTATATTATCGTATCTTATAAATTTCATAGGTTTTTCTTGAAGTATGTAGTTACAGTATGAACAACTAAATATTTATGTATTTAATTTTTTCTTTTCTTCTTCTTGTGTTTAGATATATTTCATATAATTGCCTTTCCCAAGTATACTTTACACTTTTCATATGATTACCAATACGGCACCCAACTAGTTTATTATCCTATCCAAAAACCATGTTACTATCTTACTCTAAAAGCTAATCCCATATTTTTGTTTTATATAAAAAGAAGTTAAATAAAACATCCTAGTCTATTTACCCATAGAATCCTTCAAATGCTAAAGAAATTTTAGTAAATTACTCTGTTATGTGCCTTGGAATATTTGAATTTTTCCCGACGTAAGTACATTCTGCTAATGAGTAAAGAACTGTCACTACTATGAATATTAGTTCTTACTTCATTCCTCACAAAACTCCTACAAGACCTAACTACTCCGAAACGGAACGTCATAATTATCATTATTATACTATTCCGACACTAGTTTATAAATTAAATCCCTGTTTAACTTAAACCACATTTTCTTTTTATTAATTCTCGTAATATTAAATTCTCGTAACGTAGACAAATTCTGCTAATAAGTAAAGAATTGTCACTACTATCAAGACTAATTCTTCCTACAAAACTTCTACATTACCCAGTTTCGTTAACTTCCTATAACTCAACTTATTTCCTCATTTCAATATACAGTATAATTCGCTTAGCTGCCTCGATGCTTAGCTGCGTCGATAAGATAGTTGCCTTAAATTATATTTTTTCTGCATTTATGGCTTCATTTGTATGAAAATAATTATATTTGCTGCATCCAAGTTAGCTGCCTGTTGCACTTAAGCGCCTCGTATCGACAGAATTTAATTGATGTTTTTTATGAATATCATCCAACTTAGCTGCGGCACCTAGGAAACGAATTTGCAAACAAAAAATTTATGCGTTTGTCAATAAAAAATACTCTTTTCTATTTGATGAATATGGCAATGCATGTCTTTTTTTTTATTTCTGCACATGTCCGTTTTTATTTTGCTTTGATCGTGTCTTTCTATAATCAAAATTTACTAATCGTAAAATGGGTAAAATAAAGCGTGTGGTTGGGTTAACAATAAATGAAAAACTCCAAATTATTACGGCTGTTAATGATAAAATTGATAAAAAGGTTCTATGCACTAAATACAGTTGTGACAGATCAACAATAAATCGCATAGTTAAAAACCAAGCCGAAATTCAAAAGTCTGCCTCATCGTCCCAGTTAAAGCGTAAGCGCCAACAAAAAGGTGCACACGATTTGGTAGAGGAGGCATTGTATAAATGGTTTCAACAACAAGAATCAATAAGCGTAATACTGGATCGGCATGTAATTTTGGCGAAGGCAAAGGAGTTTTGCGTAAAGTTTGGTGACGCCTTTAAGCCTGATGCAAATTTTTTATGGCGCTGGCGTAAGCGGCACAATATTAAACATGGTAAAATTCATGCCGAAACTGCATCAAATGATTCCGTAGCAGCAACTGAATATGTTCGTGACGTATTACCCGGCATAATTAAAGACTACGATCCAACCAATATTTTTAACGCAGACGAAACTGGCTTATTTTATAAAGCCATGCCTAATGCGACCTTCTATACCAGTGGAACGCAGTTAACTGGGCAAAAATCTCAGAAGGTGAGGCTTACACTATTGTTTATATGCAATGCAGTCGGGACTTACAAAAAGGCCTTTGTAATAGGCAGATCAAAAGCACCACGTTGCTTTAAGAACGCCCATGTGCCACTGCCATATTATGCTAACAAAAAAGCATGGATGACTAGTGAGCTCTGGAAAGAAATAGTCCACGAACTAGATGCAGATATGAAGAAGCAAAAACGGAAGATTTTGTTGTTTATTGATAATGCCACAAGCCACAATATTTTAGAAGGGTGTGAAAACATTAAATGCAGCTTTTTACCACCAAATACAACGGCTTCAGCTCAATCACTAGATCAAGGCATTATATACTGCTTCAAATTGGAGTATAGACGCATATTGGTAAAACAACAGCTAATTGCCGTAAATTCTGGAATATCAACAACTGAATTTTTAAAAACAATTTCATTGTTGGACGTTCTACATTTTGTAAACGATGGGTGGAAGAACGTAACGCAATTAACTATTCGCAATTGTTTTAAAAAGGTAAACAATTATATTATCAGTATTGCTGTTAACTAATAACTACATTACCTATAAAGGCTGGATTTAATCTGTACCTCAATGGCGAAGGAACTACTGATGACAACGAGGAAGAGTCCGATGAGATAGAATATGGACAACGTATTGATTGGAATGAATATGCAGCAATAGATAAAGATATATGTACCTTGTCATGGTAAGTTAACGGATGAGGAAATTGTGCAATCACTGGTTCCCAATGATAACGAAAACGGCAGCAATGGAGAGCTTGTCAGTGATGACGATGCCGACGATGAACCCGAACGCAATACTCTGAATAAAGATTTTTTCGCCATTAAGGTGCTGAAGCGTATTTGCATTCAAAATAATTGCGAAGAATTTTTGCCAAACCTTACATCTTTGGAGGATATATTTTTTAATTTATCTATAAAAGCGGCTCCAGTGCAAACAAAAATTACAACTTTCTTTAAAAAGAACTAATGGTACTTATTAACCGTATACACAATGTCCAAATAAATAAAAAATATTTTAATATGTATGAAATAAATACATATATTGTATAAAAACCGTAAAATTTAATTCTTTTATATTGTTGCGATGAAATGCGCACTATTTTAAGCAGACTATTAAAATTACGTTAGCTGCCTTTTTAAGATAGCTGCCTCCAAATTCGCTGCAAACAACTCGAGGCAGTTAAGCGAATTATACTGTACTATTAAAATATCACCATTAATGGTATTTACCATAACTATTCACCAAAAAATTTCTATTTTTTGTTTACTGCCCTTAAAGCACCGTAGTATTCCCTGGTCTTTTGCAGAAAACTCATTCCTCCTTAACATAATTCGTAATCCCTAAAAATCCAAATCATCTTCTAGCTACTAAAAACCTAAACTCGACTCGGAAAAATATCCTACTCAACCTATATTTCAAAAAAAATAAAGTACAACCCGATCCCTACATGCAATCAAAAACATCTCAATCTAAATATTAAACAAAAACACGGAAAAAAATAATAAAAAAAAAATTATCACTTATCATTCATTAAAACTCATTAAAATCATTAAAATTAATCATTAAAATCATTTTCATTAAAAAATTATTATTATTATTGTTGTTCATAACTGTGCCACATCTTCCCCGAAAAAAAATATAAAAAAAATTTTCTTTAAAATGAACTCCCCTAGTAAATATTTAAAATCATTATTATATTAATTACCTAAATTTCAACAATAATATTCAATTTTAAATTTTTATTTTTTTTTTTTTTAAAATATTTTTTAAAATGATATTTCTCACATTTGTTTTTTTTTTCACAATATTAACTATTACTTTATTTTTAAAATTAACTTTAGATGTCTTAGTTTTAAAAAAATTCTCAACTTCGAGACTAAAATTATCACTCACCATTTTAAGTTACTGGTTTCGATCCACCTGTCCCTGTAATTTTTTCACTGTTTTACGGTGTAATTCTCCCTCCATTATACTTTGGATTAATAATTTATCTACGTCGCCTTCCCTTACTCCTTTACTTTTTAATGCTTCTTCTAAACCGGCGGCCTGCTGTTCAGAATCTTGCAATAACTCTGTTAGAACTTTTGCCCGTTCACTCAGTTCTTCGCATTTATGCTTAAGACCTTCCTTGGCCTGTGTTAGCTCTGTGATTTTATTACCCATTTCTAGGGATCTAATATCTTTCACGTTCGCAATTTTTTCTTTTAAATTCTTTTAAATGCTGTAAACTCCCACGTAGGTAGGTGACGTTGTCGTCGCACGTTGCACGTTCTATAATGTAATGATTATAAAAACGTGTGTATACCGGCTGCGCCAATTTATGTTGTGGTTCCGAGTAGAAGTTGTTGCTTCCTCTTTAACCAAATAATATACACCTAGTTGAGGATGTTGAGGTGATGGTGATGATGATATAGTCCTCCCAGAAAACCCGTAAAAATAATACACTTTTCTTTAGTTATACAATGACACAATTACTTTATTTATTTCCAATATATAACAGCACTACTACGCTTCACTTTTCACTTTTTTACACACTTTAATACTTGGTCAAGCGCTACTGCGCTTAACCTCTTCACATTTCCAAGACCCAGTTCCAATTTTGAACTCGTCTTATATACCTAAACTTGATGCAAAAATCCAATATATGACCTAGTTACTTTATTGGGTTTTTCCCATAGTTGTATAATTTATTTTGCTAAATTCGCAAAGTTTTATTATTACAAGAATGCTCCACATATTTTTGCAATTCTTCCGTATTCAATATTTTCAAAGTCACTTACATCATGACACCAATTACTAACCAATTACCAAAAATCAGCATTTCTTATCGTCGAACTGACGGTCTGATGCTTTGGTTCTAGTCAATAACTGCCCAGATGCAAACAACCTTGCCTATTTTTAGGAAAATATACGATCAACTGAAATCGTACACAAATAAAAATATTACACGTATTTCACAGAGAAATTGCAAAACGTAAAGTTAAATGGACTAATTATTTAACTCATAACAGCGCTTTTTCGATTTTTGACAGAGACAGCAAATTATTTTCTAAAGCACAAAATAAAAAATAAAAAGTGAGCAAGCATTCAAGCAAAATATCAGTGCGGTTTTGTGTATATATAAACAAAACAAAAAAGTGCTGATAGAGACAGCTAGTATTTTATTAAAAACGTGTTCCACAAAAGCTGTAATAGGAAGCCCGCAATTCATTACAACACAACCCAACACACCATATCAAAACACAACAAAACATCAAAACCAACATACTTGCTAACATTGGATTTTGGAATTTAAAGTTATTTATTTTATTAACTATTATTATTTTTTTATTATTATTATTATTATTATTATTATTATTATTATTATTATTATTATTATTATTATTATTATTATTAGGCCTTTTCGGTGGCTCGCAAGTACGGCAAAAAATGCATGTTGGCCTATGTTGGCCACGCGAGTCATTGGCATCACTGTTGCAATCTGTCAAATGTTTTGTTTTGACAAACAGCAAATCTTGTATATGTGCATATAAATCAAATATATTTTTATAAAAATATTATAAAATTAAAATGAACACGGAATTAAAAGGAATGGTAAGAATATTGGAAATTTAAAAATAAAACACTAAGATAAGTAAATTTTTGTAGGTACTGTCGATGTTGGGAGAAGGAAGCAACGTTTTGCAGTGGCCGAGGGATGCAAGTTGTTTCACGGATTTTTTAAATGTTATGAATGCCGCAACAACCTCCTCTGAAGATTCTCTTCCTTTCGTGCCAAGTAGCACTCTAGAAAACACTTCGTTTCCTTTGTGGTCCATAGTTTACGTGTATTTCAAAAAATTTTTTAGAAAAACTTCAAAAATTATGTTTGTTTAATTAATTTTACGTATGTAAATTACAAATTAAATGAAATAAAATAAATGTTACTTGGTAATAACTAACATAATAAAAAATTCAATGTGCTTAATACTTACGATTTCTCCATTCTTATTATTTCTTCGTTACTTTTCAATATTTTTCAAATTTTTGAATTCTGTTTGAATTTTTATTTCCTCAATGTTTGACATTTGATTGCACTATTCGTTGGAATTTTCAATGAAGGTTCACAATAGTTCGCTTATTGCGTTGGTAACATTTTCTTTTTTACTGGCCGATGTGATTGGCCAGCATAACTATGCTGGCCGAGGTAGAGAAAATAGTGTTGTTGTTTTGCGTACATTGCGGCCAGTATAGGCCTGCATAGGCCAACAACTTGCTGTTTTTTGCCGTACTTGCGAGCCACCGAATACGCCTATAGGCATTTTAAAATAAAACTCAAAAAATAATAATTAAATTTGCTTTATATTATATTCATCAAAAATAATTATTTTATATACTTTTTATTTTATTAAATTAATTATTTATTTATTTATTAATTAATATTTAATTTTAATTAATTGTTTATTAAATTAATATTATAAAATTATATATAATTCATACTAACTGCACCAATCAGCTGCCGCGATGCGAGGTTGTATCTGGTGCCACCAAAAATACTTAAATGCTTTATCTAATATTCAGTAGTTAAACTGTGGTGAATTGCAAAGTATAAGTACATACAGACAGCATGAGGCCAAATGTACTGCATAAGGTGACATACACTTGATTGGTTGTCGCGGGGACCGCGCTAGTGATTTTTTTGCTGTGCAATATTTTTATAATAAATAATAAATTAAATTATATGTAAAAACATTCTAATTGTAAAATATGAATAATAATTATATTATTGAAATTGCGGCTAATACAATACCGAAATTGGCTTTTGTTTTTGTGGTGTTTTTAGTACTACATAAATTTTATGTAAAAGTGCGGTAAGTTAACTAATCTGACATGTGCGGAAGAATTTTAAACCGGTTGCCGCCTAATCTTTTTGTATAAAAAAATATATATGCAAACGAATAAATATATATGTTGAATAATTAGTGTAGCAAAATTTTGGCGCTATTATTAAATAAATTCTATTTATAGATCAAAAACTAAGACTACCGTGAATTGTTGGTTTTGCAATGAAAATACCAAAGTCCTATATGTCGAATCCAACAGTTGGACCTGTCCAAAATGTGAGCAATATAATGGATTTAACAAAAATGGGGATTGTAATCGCCTAATATATGAGAAATATGACTGCAGCAATCTAACTACTAATAAAATACAATTTGCTGATCCCTCATCAACACCACTTACCTCATCACCGCAAAATGGACTTTGTAAAGCATGTAATGAAGCCCAAAATTGGATAGTAGAAAAACGTGCAGAATTTGAACCAACGAAAGAAAATCGTTTCGATCAGGAATTTAAGGTCTACAAGTAAGTTAACGTACTATTAGAGACATTTATGTAGTGGTAAAAAAAAAATTAAAGAGATTAAAAGGTTTAGACGACAGATGTTACATCAATTTTTACCTGCTCAATAATGCCTTAAACTATGACCTTATTATCTATACTTTAATCAGTTTAGAATAAAAGAAAGGGATTATTTTTGCAGAACTAAAAAATTCAATTAGTTATATTTAATCATTTATATACATATTTTGTTCTGTTGATGAAATCATATTCGACCTTAACTTAGGAATGAAATTCACAAGGTCTTAAACATAAAATAATTATGTTTATT